TGGATGATTCTTACAATTTCATAAAATTTAAACGATATTTTAACGCGTCATTTATCTTTAATACACAAATAGCTGACTCGAAATAAGCCGAGTGGCCGATGGGATCAGATTTCCTTTTATAAGATTCCAGAGAAGAAATTTTAAACTTCCTCGACGCGCCTCGATATCTAAACTATCTCTGAAGGAGTTTTTTTTTCAGTCTTTATCTTCTCATTCTTCTCTTTACTTCTTGTTTCTTCTCCAATTGAGTTTGCAACAAATCTTTCTTCTTCTGTGCAACCTTTCTCATTCAAAGATTAGGTTGAGACCTCTTCTTACTCCGACACTTGGTAAGTCCTGTGTATGAGGCTCTCATCCCGGCTATTCCTGTCTTGATAACTCTTGTCCTGGTAGTTCTTGTTATGTTGTGGAACTTATTATGAACATGACTTGGTTGCGAGCCACTGTTCTTGATGATCTGATTTACATTCTGGACCAAGAATGGATTCATAAAGCTTTCCTCACGACATGTATTTCTTTCCTCATTAGTTCTCTCAACTCATTGATTTACTGAGTCACGAACTCTCTCATACAAACCATTTATCTCTGAAGGCTGACTTCAAACGAGAAGGGTCTCTTTTGTCGAGTTTGTGTATGAACTCTACACTCACCATATCTTTTAAAATGTTGAATCTTATTGAAACGTAAGTTTCATATCATTCATAATTACATAAAAAACAGTAAAAGCCCTTGCATCATAGAGAGAATGGTAGAGAAAGAAAGATGAATGAGAGCCTTTTGAGAGAACCTAATGAATTATATTAAATTTTGATCTTTGTAAGTTGGAGGGAAGCAACTCCTCAGAGGTTTCATGAGTTACAGGATTTCAGAGAGGGAAAAGGGGAAAAATAGAAATATAAATCTATAATACAAGAGGGAAGAAAGAAAAGGTCCTCCTCTCAATCTTCCCGCCTCCCTCCCCATCCCTTTTATACTTAAGAGAGAGAATCAATAAAATAATTGAAGTAATTTTGTAATGTATGTTGACTTTCTCTAGTGTCTTGATGGAATGATTGTGATGTGAATGCCAAATATTGTCGGTACAATGGTCATCTCATGTACTTTGGTGAAAAGATTGAGTCTCAAGTGTTGAGCGACATCTCTAAAAAAAATTGACGGAAGTTCTTATTTTACTTGCAGTTTTCTATTAATTATGATGGTTTCCTTTGATAACTTCCCTTGCACATGTGGGTTGGGCCGTCCTTTCAAAGAAAATGAGAATGATCGAATCATCAGACAAGTTCGATTCAACCACTTCGGCAGACGAGCTCGATTCAACCATTTCGACAGAGGCTCAATTCCACTACTTCAGGAGGTGGGCTCAATTTAGCAACTTAGGCAGGCGAGCTCGATCATCCACTTCTGCGGGTGGGATCAATTCAGTTGGTTCAGTCGGTGGCTCGATTATGTGAGAAAAAATTGCCGAAAATTTATATATACTCACATTTGTTAAATAAATTTAATAATTTTCCAATAGTTTAATCAGGATGAATGACATGCATGTTATTTTTTCATTTGTGTTACTTTCACTTAAAAATTATGATATATGCATTGAATTGTGTCATGATTCAGTATTGTTTTCAATCAATATATGCAAAACATAATTCTTAAAAGAACTAATGAGAGAGAGACGATCATAATCTATATCACATAAAAAGCAGAAAAAATATTACATCAGGACTCTGCACGTAACCGCACGTTGAGTTACGTAACTCAACGTGCGGAGTCCAATGAAATCACCATGTAATATTTTTTCTGCTTTTTATGGTTTTCTCCGTGTTATTTATGTGTTATTGTGTTCTGAGAATATTCCTGGTGTTATAATAACAAAATAACACATCAATAACACTTAAATAACACACAATAACAACTGAATAACACGGGAGGAATATTCCCCTGTGTTATCGGGTTGATTTTTTTTTTCTCACATTCATGTATGTGACGTGATTTCATTGGACTCCGCACGTAACTCTACGTGCGTAGTCCTAATATAATATTTTTAAAAAAAATGTATGGTGTGTTTATCATTAATGATGCACTGATATTTTTAATTAAAAAGTCGTGCAGCATTCGACACGAGATACTTACATAGAAGAGTTCAATTTAAATAATATTATTAAAAAGGGAGAAGAGTTTGATTTAAATAATATTATTAAAAAGGGAGGCTGGGTCCTAAATTAATGAATTAAATTTTTTTTAAAAATATTTCTTAGACTTAAAATTATAAGAAATGTATGTTTATGTAAATTTTAGGGAATCTTTACATACAAACACGTCAATATTTATTTATTTGTATATCTAACATCTAAATTTTCAAATTTTACATATGTAACACCTGACATAAATGAAAAGGTGTATTTCACCTTTTAAGATTAAAAATTATGATGTATTAAATATGATATGAAAATTTTGTCTGACATTAATATAAAAATTAATATTTAGGTGTTCGATATGTAAATACATAAAGATTTGGTAATGAAACTAGTGATCATTTTATTTCTTTTAATAAATAATTGAATAAGAGGTCTTAAATCCTTAAGATAATATATAATTATTTTTAATAATGTAATAAACTAATGGGATTATTCATGGACATCACTAGGCCTTTTGGGATCATTCTTGTGTTTGTTTTTTATTTTTAATTTATATTTTAATTCAATTCAAAGCATGTTTAACTCACATAATTATTTTAAAAAACATTCAAAACAACCTTTAATATATTTTAATTATTTTTAAATACAATTTAATTTATTTTTTAAAATAAAAATATATGATATGAAAGATATATCAACTCTAACATTTTTGTTTTTTATTTTTAATTTATATTTTAAGTGCGTAAGAATTGGGTGTAGGGCTGTGCTTTGGGCGGGTCGGGTTTGATCTGAGGGAGGCTTACTCAAGTTTAGACAAGTCAAAGCGGACTTGGGCCGGATTTGGGCCCGATTTCTATTTAAAAACTCAGCCAAGCCCACTTACACTAGATATCGGGTCGGACCATAAAAGAAAAATTATTTTGTTATAGAAAATGAGGCAGAAAACCTCTATAATGATCACGATTTATGAATAATTCATTCTAAACAGTAAAAGGGAAAAAAAGACGAATAGATTTGCATCAATTAACTCGAGTTACATACGAAATATCAAATGACATGATGAAAAATAGAATATAAAAAAAACAATATGATTAACAAACTACCATAGATTGAAAGTAATCATCTCTATAAAGCATTCACTTCTAGTATGTATATTATCAACCAAACCAGTAAAGTCAATGATAAAATGTATGGACAAAGCATTCTCTAAAATCTTTACGTCGAGGAAATTCTGATCCTACGCCATTTTAGCAAATCCGCAACGCTTGTAGCCTTCTAATTGGCTCTGCAAGCATTGCAAACACCTCAGATAAATGTAACGTCGACCATCTATGTGATTACCTACCCTCACAAATTCGAGCACATATTCAGTTAGGGTTCCTAACGTAGAGAATCATTCAGAGTTCAACGAAATCACGCCACGTGACGGTGATAGAAAAAAAATAAAAATCGGCCAGGTAACACGGGAATATTCCCCGCGTGTTATTTCATATTATTCAAGTGTTATTATATATTATTAAAGTGTTATTGTGTTCTGAAAATATTTCCAATGTTATAATAACAAAATAACACATCAATAACACTTAAATAACACATAACAACACATGAATAACACGGGAGGAATATTCCCTCATGTTGTCGGGCAAATTTTATTTTATTTTTCTGTCACCGCCACGTGATATGATTTCATTGGACTTCGAACGTAACTCTACGTTAGGAGTCATGATATAATATTTTTCCCAAAAATTCACAATCCACCGGCTATATGATTAGTTACTCCCATTAATCACATGCCATCAACAAATCATAAACTTAGATAAATGTAATGTCGACCATCTATGTGATTAGCTACCCTCACAAATTCGAGCGCATATTCTGTCAGGACTCCTAATGTAGAGAATCATTCAGAGTCCAATGAAACCACGCCACGTGGCCGTGAAAATAAAAAATAAAAATAGGCCCGGTAACACGGGAATATTCTCCCTATGTTATTCCGTATTATTCAAGTGTTATTATATGTTATTAAAGTGTTATTGTGTTTTGGGAATATTCCTGATGTTATAATAACAAAATAACACATCAATAACACATAAATAACACACAATAACACTTGAATAACACTGGAAGAATATTTTCTTATGTTACCGAACAGATTTATTTTATTTTTTCTATCACCACTACGTGACGTGATTTCACTGAACTCCGAACGTAACTCTACGTTAGGAGTCCTGATATAATATTTTTCCCACAAGTTCACAATCCACCAACTATATGATCAACTACACTCCCATTAATCACATGCCATCAACAAATCATAAAATTCAAAAATATGTCAAACACACATTTTAATAAATTTTGAGATTTTTTTTTTTCGGATGAGATTTTAGGTGGGCGGGCCCGGTTTGGCTGTGTCGGGCTTTGACTAAGTCAAAGCGGGCTCAGGCTAGGCCAAGCTTGGTGGCTATTTTTTCACAGTCAAACCTGCCCATTCGGAGCGAACTTATGGCGAGCCAGTCTAATTGGGTGCTATGTATTTAAATTTCTGTTTTTAATAATAAATATTTTCAGTGTCTTGTCGATCTTTGTCGTGTCATTGCGCACCGTATGCAGAAATGAATATGATGTTTGATTTTCATCGTTCATTACAACAAAAATGTATTTCGATGACCTATTTTTATTGATTTATTTTTTTAATATATTGATGGACGGTTATGAAATAATTTTTCAACGTAACGAGGGATAAATTAATCCATATTTCTCCAGTAGTTAAAACTGCAGTCGCTGCCTCCTGGTTCACTGTAGCCTAATAAGTTGCTCGCGTTGGCGCAGGTCCTGCCTCACCGCCGCAAGATGCCGGAGCAGGAGGCAACTTCCCTGCAGCACCTTCCGTGGCTGCCGTCTCGATTCAGGTTCTTCTATTTTACCCTTTCTCATTTCTTTAGATTCAATAGCCAAATTTCAGCATTTTGGTAACCGCGTCACTCTTCACCTACTCCGAGTTCTTTGCTCTGTTGCTTATTTCTGTGGATTAATTAGGGTTTGGGTTCTCTCAGGTTTCTGGCGCCAAATTGGAGAGGAATGAGTTGAAGCCTGAGCTGGAGGATGGATTTTTGTCAGTTCTTTTATTTTCTTTACAGATGTTAATATTCTTTTTCTATTATCGAAGTGTTTAGTTTGGAAGCCTACTGAGACAAGCGAGATGGTTGTGTTCTCTTCTCGAAGTAGTATTCTTGTCTTCTGGAAAAGAACTTTGAAAAGAGCATAGCTTAATTAAAGTTTGTTATAATTAGTGTGCCAATTATGTTGCGGAAGCTTCAAATAGGATTGAGGATAATGAATGCTTCACAAAGTAGAACAAAAATAAAGAGAAATAAAGAGAGAGAGAATGCACGGCACGCGTAATGCCAAGTTTTAAATGATTTAACTTTAGTGAAGTATATGCTCCTACGAGAGAAGTGAGGATCTAATCAACTATCAAAGAAGTCGCAATCATATTGTACAAAATTAAAGAGTGTTTATTAGCCCTTCCTTTTTTTTTTCGGGCAGGGTGAGCGTTCTAACTGGATACAATGGGATTTTTCATTTTGTTTCCAACCAATGTGCTACACATCCGAGTGCAACATTTGTTGGCACTTAATTTTTATGCTCACCCTCATACAAAACGAAGAATAAACTTAAAATCAATATCACATCTCACCACCAAATATTCTTTTTGCATGTGTCGAAGAAATTTCCAAGACCCTATTGAAATATTAGTCACCAAGAAGGAAAATCAATGAGGTATGAGGGAGATCTGAATTTCTATTTTAAACGTCTAAATCGAACTCCTCCTTTTGTAGCCATTGCTACAATATATCCAAGGAAATATGAATGCTTACTAGAAGGGAAGAACCAAATGTCTCGTGAGATTAGGATTTGCATTTCATAAGATAATTGATGCCAAAAATAGCATGAAAGGCAGTGTTGCCATAAATCGAGTTGGTTTAAAAAACCTCCTCCACACATTATTGTGGTACAAGCCCATCTCCTCTACGACTCATTTCTTACTTTATGCTTCGCAAAATCCATAGGCTTGGTAACATGCAATAAAGATTGAATTAGCCTAAATTTTTTTGCTTGGAAATATTTAACTATTTTTAAGTTATTTAGAATGTTAAAATTAGTTTTTGATTAATTTTAAATATTTACTAAATTTATTTTTTCATGAGAAATTGAGTTAAAGGGGAGATCAAATTGTTATTAAAAGGCCTTGGCAACCTAATTATTCTATTGACTCCAATAACCTCGCTAAGATCTCTTGAGTTCCAATGGATGTTCTCTTGAATTTTTTATCCTTGGTTTTCTTCAAATCTCAGATAATTTATCTATTTGTGGAAAAATTCATGCAAACTTTAAATATTGAAATCTCTTTACAAAGACCCTAGTTCTTCCAAACATATATTTGTTATTATTAAGATTAATGAGCTATTAAACACCACTGGCTCATCTAATCAAAATGCATCGATGAAGGAAAGCTAAATTTTAATCATGAATAGTATGCATAGGGTTACAATAGATTTAGTGTTTATATATAGCATATAACCTAAAAATAATACAACCAACACACAAAATGGGTATGAAAAAATTTTTAAACCTAAAACAATTATTCATATCTTTGATGAAAAACAAAAATAATTTCAATTTTGGAAATGAATTATGTTTTTCTAGTAGAAACTGATAACTAAAAGTTTAAGTATCACATTGCTACAACACCCGGTTAAAATCATATGTGATAGAATAAAAAATAAATTGTGACAAGTTTGACAAAGTTTAATTAACCTTCCAACCAATAACAAAAATGATAAAAAAACGAGAGAAAGAGAGAGAGAAAGAGAGAGAGAGAGATTATAAAATATATATCTCATTCTTGTTTAAGGATGTTATAAAAATGTACATGTTTCATGCTATATCAAGGAACTTAATCGTGAAAGATTTATGAATTTAAACAATTTTTTATGAACTGTTACATTCTTTATGTACATTCCTCATACGTTCATTTATAACTACCAAGTAGAAACACAAAGTCTTTAAGTTCCCATTAAAAAGGATGTATCGAAAGACTTGCACTGACTTCAAGAAAAAATTCTCGAAAGAGATGAAATAATTATAGGGCTAGCCATATGAGCTACTTTTGCAATTTTGTGGTTATGGAATCACAAGTAGGGGATTCACTAAAAGTGCCTTTGCTATGTTCCTAAAAGTTGAAACCTGTTATAAAATAGCTGAAATTTTGACGTATTGTGTTAGTAGCAATCAACTACAAGAAGGATTGATTCTGACGTAGTCTTGAGAAGGATTGTAAAAATAGCTGAAATTTTGGCTTTGATGAATTGTTTAGTTGTGAGCACAAACATAATTAAATTACATTCACTTTTGTAGCAGATTTGTAATTGTTATAATTAACAAAAACCTTTAAGCAAATCATGCATATAAATGCTAAATAATGTTATAGTATATGTTGCATGCGAAGACGATGCATGGAAACTTAAATTCATTGCAAGAAGAACTTCAGAACGTTATAATCCCCAACGTATAGGCACGAAATCTAACTAATAGTTTATGCAAACACATCTTAATGCAGAAAGGAATTTTGCAATGCAAAGATCTATTGTTTTTGTCAATCATTGTGAACCTTGAACTCCATGTCACAAAGAGAATAATTCAATGGTTGGGTAGGCAAGAAAGAGAAAAAAGGAATCAAAAGAGGATTCAAAGAAATAGGAGAAAAGGATTCAATATCTACATCAATGTAGGCAAGAATTTGGAGTAGGGAGTGGTTGAGGATGGGGAGTAAGGATAGACAATCAGTGCTATGATGAAATGATTATCAATGGTTCTCGTCGATAATGGTTGTGCTGCTTCAGTCACTGGAGTTGCTTTGCTAATTTTGTGGGAAACATGGTCACTACAACAACAACAACAACAACAACAAAACCTTTATCCCACTAAGTGGGGTCGGCTAGATGAATCCTTTTTCTCCATTGCATCCTATTTGGTGTCGTATTTTCATTTAATTTCATACAATATGCTTAAGTCATCCTAAGTCTACCTCTTTCTTAACAAAAATCGAATCTAAAACATCTACTCTTTTAATCAGATCATCAAATGGTCGGCGTTTAATGTGACCAAATCATCTAAGACGACTCTCACTAGGTGGGGTCGGCTACATGAATTCTTTTTCTCCATAGCGTCCAATTTAGTGTCATATTTTCATTTAATTCTAATAAATTAAAATCATTTTTTATATAATATATGCAAATCATCCTAGGCCTACCTATGCCTTTCTTAACATAAGTCGAATCTAAAACATCTACTCTTTCAATTGGATCATCAAATGGTCGACGTTTAATGTGACCAAACCATCTAAGACAACTCTCTCTAATTTTTTCGGTCACTGGAGCTGCACTCACCCTATCACGAATATATTCATTTCTCATTTTGTCTCTAAGTGTAAAACCACTCATTCACCTAATCATTCTCATCTCGGCAACACTTAATTTAGTTTTATGCTTCTCTTTTAAAGACCAACATTCAATGCCATAGAGCATTGCAGGTCTCACCACCATCTTATAAAATTTTTCTTTGAGTCTAAGGGGTACTTTTCTCACACAGTAGGCCTGAAGCATTCCTCCAATTCAACCAACCAACTTGAATTCTACTAAAAACATCCCCATCAATATCACCATCACTTTGAACAATAGACCCAAGATATCTAAAGCGTTCAAACCTTTTAATAATTTGATCACCCATAGTTACATTTCTGTCACTAGAGGTACTACTACTAAAATTACATTCCATGTATTTTGTTTTAGTTCTGCTCAAACAAGGGCCTTTAGACTCAAATGTAGACCTCCTTGATTCAAGTTTTTTCTAAGTTTTTTTTCTCGTCTTATCCATGAGAAGGATACCATCAACAAAAGGCATATACCAAGGTACATCCTCCTGTAAGTATCCAATAAGACCATCCGTAACTAAAGCAAAAAGATATGGGCTTAAAGTCGATCCCTGATGTAACCCAACAGAAATAGGAAAATATTTGGCCAATCCTCCTTCTGTTTGAACACAAGTGACAGTTCTTGTATACATATCTTTAATGACTTGAATATAAGTCATATCAACATCTTTCTTCTCAAGAACTCTCCAAAGGATATCTCTTGGAACCTTATCGTAAGCTTTTACTAAACCAATAAAAATTATATGTAGATCCTCCTTATTATCTCTAAATTTATCCATCAAACCTCTCAATAAATTTATAGCTTCCATAGTAAACCTGCCTAACATAAATCTAAGTTGATTATGAGAGAGCTTTGTAATACGTCTTAACCTATGTTCAATTACCCTCTTCCATAATTTTAAAGTATTACACATCAACTTAATTCCTCTATAATTGATACACTCTTGTGCATCCACTCTTCGGGCATCTTTTTTCTTAAAAATGAGGATCATCAAACCTCTCAACTTAATTTTAAAGTATGACACATCAACTTTATTCTTAAAAATGAGGACCAAAATACTATTTCTCCACTCCTCGGGCATATTTTTAATTTTTAAAATAATATTAAAGAGTTTAGTAAGCCAAGAAACTTCCAAATCTCCTAAATATTTACACACTTCAATTGAGATATCATCAGATCCAACAAACTTTTCACCTTTTTTAAACCAATTTTTATCATCACAGATTGATCTCTTAGACTCCCTACTGGTCGTTTGATATTTTTCTAAGTTCTCTAAGCTTTTACATTTAAACCAATTTTTTTAACATGACTTCTTATATTTTATCTTTTCTTGTATCTTTTCTTGTACATTATTATCTTGTACATTATTATTCTATCACCAACTATTTTTATTAATAGAAATTTTTTCTTTTGATTTTCTAAGTAGGACTTTTGACACTTGTTTAATAATTTTTATTACTTTATCTCACGTAGAATTTACTTCTTTATGAACATCCCAAATTTTGAAATCTTGAATATTACTCATAAAAATAATTTTATTTGTGTATTTTACTTACCCTCATCTAATTCTATGACGATCATTCCTAGTATCTTTTATTTTACAACTCTTAATCTTGAAATCTAGACATAATAATCAGTGTTGAGTATTTAAATCCTCACTTGGAATGACCTTAGAATCTTTATATTCTGGATGATCTCTTCTTCTCATAAGAAAATAATCAGTTTGTGTTTTATTAGATCCATTCTTATAAGTAATAATATGCTCATCTCTTTTCTTAAATAAAATATTAACAATAACAAAATGTACGCTAAAACAAAATCTAATATAGCTTTACATTCTTCATTAATCACTCCACGACCGTAGCCATCATAAATATTTCTAAAATCTTCTACCACTCTATAGCATGTCTATTTAAATCTCCTCCAATCAAAATTATTTCTTTAAGAGGTATCATCTGTACTAAGGGTCTGTTGAGGGCAATTGTTGATTATTTATAATATATTGATAAACAGATTATTCTGATTATATGATAATCTGCAGATTATTAGAATAAGTTGGTTTGCTGTTTGCGAAAGCTTATTCAGAATAGCTTATTGATAGTTGTTGCTGGATAAATGATCATTCTGCTTCTGTTTGGTGAAATTATTTGTAACAGAACTGTATGAGAGAAATAATGCACAAAACAAATGCCTCAAACTGTTACAGATCAATTCAAAAAAATAAAATACACAAAACAGAAGCCAACTCAAATAAATTTCAGATTTGCATAAAGCCAACCTGCATAAAACCAAACTGCATAAATTTCAGATATGCATAAAGCCAATGTTTCTGAGTATTTTAACAAGCCTTTACATTTTTTACCATCCGATTCAATACGTATTTACACACCTAACACCCAAATTTCACAATTATAGCATCTAAATCTTTGATGGATATAAAAGAAAAAGAATTAATGTAGCTTTTAATGTATAAGCAGAGTAATACAAATGGAAAGAACCCAGATTTCAAATTACTTAGACGTATGAATATGCAGGAATTTAAGGCATTAAATATTTAAATTTCGCAATAATTTGGTTTGCATGTGTGGGTATACACAATAATTATTAATGTGCACTTTAAAGTTTATCAAGCGTCCAATTAGTTCTCACAAAAAAGGAATAGTGTAACTATCGAGTAAATCAAACCTACTAAATCATTAATATTGCAAATCTTTTAAACATCCTTAACCAAATACATTGAATGTGTCACAATTCATTAAACAAGTGTTAAATTCCAACCTAACCAAAGCTTATCAATAAGCAGGTGGTTAATTAATGGAAGGGAAGAAGCCTGTAGATATTTACCAAGGCATTTTCAACTCCAAAGAGGCGAATGGAGCTTGGGCAATAGTACAGTTCTGAATGAGCAAGAAAGCCGAACACAAGGAATACTTCCTCAAGGATTTTTTTTGTTTTGTCCTTTAGGGTTGCCCGTTTTCCGCCGAGAAGGAGAGAAAAAGGGGAAAATGAGAGGCTTGCCATGGGGAGGAACCTCTAGAGGTAGCTTACGGCTTATGAAGAAGAAGAAGAGGGAGGAACCTGTAGAGGTAACATGGGGAGCCGAAGAATGCAGAGAAGGGCAGAACTTGACCTAGGGAACCGAGGAATTTTTTCACTCTACCGTGCGAAGCTAACGCAGGACGCTGCTCCTTCCCCGCTTCCCCATCTATTAACAAAATTTTTCAACTACGTCGAAGCTGCAGCAACAAGTTGGGCCGAACGTGTTTTTCAAACACGCCATCGGCTTTTTCATACCGCTACCGTTCCCGATAAGCTGCCCCAAACGGACCCTAAGTCTTCTAAGTCATTATGAAATTTATCTTTAGAACATATTTCTAAACCAACTTGATGAACATAAGCATTTTTAATATTAAAAATCTTAGTATCAACAATAATCTTAAAGACTATAATTTTATCTCCAACTCTATTAATTTTTACAAAATTATCTTTCAAAATCTTATCTATAATTACACTTACCCATTTCTAGTGTGACTCTTATTTTGAATACCAAAGTATAAAACCTAAGTTATCAATCTTCTTTTTCATTTCTCCAATCTATTTATAGTTTTTTGAATACATAAAATATTTATCTTTCTATGAATCGTAATATTAACTAATTTCATTAATTTATCAGTAAGAATACCTATATTCCAAGATTCTATCCTATTATTAGTTTCATGGACTAACTTTTTACTCGTATTCGTTAGTAACGATAACCCTTTCTTATTTGACACTACAAATGGGCATCGGTATAGCGACCCTTGCACAATTTTCACTGTATTCAGACCATACAGCTCGTTCTTTCAAGGGTTGCCCTAGCACTTACACAATAGTCAAAAGGCGATAACCCTTTCTTATTTGACATTACAAATGGGCATCGGTATAGCGACCCTTGCACACTTTTCACTGTATTCAGACCATACAGCTCGTTCTTTTAAGGGTTGCCCTAGCACTTACACAATAGTCAAAAGGATTCATGCCATGATTTTTTTCGACAAGTTTTGCGCCGGCTGTCGACTACCTACTAATGCAACCCTCCACTTTTCACTTTTCACATTCGGGCTTAGGACCGGCAATAGTAGTGGGAAACGTGGTCACTAAGATTGAAAATCTTTTAAATTGTAAGCATGTAATGATGGGCAGTGTCTATCATGCTTGCAAGGGACTACAAGTTTTAAAAGGTAATGTGAGTACAACAATAGAACTATATTGACATAGAATGTTTGAATAATGATGCTAACGTATTTGGTTAATAATATTATGAAATGATTGCTAATTTAGCGATTTATTTTAATGCATGGATCATGGAATTATTATTTTAATTTATTCGAAGGTCAGTGCCTGCCCGTAGATTAAGTAGAGGGCATTAGTTGTCCACTTAACAAAGGCTTTTTTGTTTTTCTTGAAATGATTTTTGTGAAGTCGAGTTATATTGTATTTGCTCAGCTTGTTTGTTGATTATTAGTGAAAATATAATGCAACGATGAATTATGGTTTTAGCTATAGGCTTCACAACTGTTTTTTTTTTCCTTATTTTTGCAAATGAAAAACCCTCTTGGAAACCAAACAAGGTGAAATACCAAACTTACCTTTTGTGCTTTTCCATCACAGATTCTGATTTTCTCTTCGAAATCATAGCACATGGATAGTTTAGTTGTTATTTTTATTTTTGTTTAGAGAAGTACCTCGGTATGTAAGCTTAAAATCTCTTATGCATGTAATAATATATTTCTTAAACAGTTGACTTTTATTGATAACAATTAGCTTATAAATAGTAGATGTTATGACTCTCTATCATTTTCTATATTTGATATTTTTTGCTCCTTATTTATGTATGACTGAAGGTTTTTTAGCATTGTACAATGATTACATAGTAGGCATATTGCATGTGCTGTAGAATTTATAAGATTAATATATTAATGCATGCTTCACAATCTATTATTCATGATATGTAATGTGATGCTTAGATGCCATTTTATATGTTATCTTCATTTATTGTTACCATCTGTTACTCTCTCTAGGGATGAATGGAATTCAGAGAATATTGACAAGCTGAAGAAATACGAGGCTGCCTATGCCCGAAGATTAAGGGCTAAATACTTCTCCAAGAAAACTTTAAATGGAGGTAGTCTATAGTTTCTATTATTAAATCATTTAAAAATTTATTCAATTTTGCAAACATGTATAGATTCTTTTGACTTCTAGTTTTTTTGCATGGATTTTTCGCTTTCATTATCTTCACAAGTCAGAATTTATAATCGATTGCCTTTTCTTGATGTAAGCGATATGGCCTTGTATTTAGCATCACATTATTAAACTAAGCGTAGAAAATATGATCTGTTGAGACAAATGCACTAAGGGTATTTAATATCATTATGGTGAGCTTGCCACGTTGTTACTATATTTCTTGTTGATTGTTATACTTTATAAATCATACTTTTATTTTATAGACCATATTTATTATGGAAGTTCTGTAATATGAAAGGCTGGCACAGTTTATACTAAGTGTTGTATGTTTTAGAAACATGAATTTGTAAGCATTATATAAAAGCATGTGTCGTCCCATAATATAAAGCAAGTTGTGCGCCTATTGTTTTCCTGTAATGTTCATGCAAGGATTATGAAGCTTAGGTTGCTTTATTGGCTGTGTTAGAAATGATTATCATCATCAATGAGCTTGTGTGTGCCTGGTGTATACTTTACTAGTATAACGCATGGTGATTTGCTGGAGCAAATATGAACTTGAAGAACACCACCATCTTTATGTGGAGGGTTAGAACACTATGAGTGTTTTTTGTTTGAAGGAATTTGGGTGAATGCAAATGCATTTTACTGTTGGCTATAATTAACATCAAGTGTTACATATATATATATATATATATAAGCGCGTGATTATATTATTTTCATTTGCAATTCTCTGTTTTGTGGCGGAACAAGAAATTTCTCTTGATAGTTTCAAAAATGGACTATTTTGAAAATACTATCAATATTTTTCAATAGATATTTATAACATAAATCCTTAAATTTTTAAAGAGGCACAAATTGATTATTTTTATGAAAATGCTGTTACTATTTTACACTAGAAAAACATATGTAATATATAAAGACATCCTAAAATTTTAGAGGGCCAATGTGTCCTTTCATACCCTTTTAAATCAATCATTGTTTTTGTCTGACCATAGTGAAAATCGGATAAAAATTTTATCCGCCATTGTCTTGACTTTCGTAGTTCCTCAGCTGAAATAAAATATCAATTCCTTCTCAACCTAATAAAAATATAAAAGAACCCCTTTCCCTTAATTTATCTCAGCCCAACAAGAGGGACAACTTTTAATTCTTTATCATTTTCACTAGAATTTCATTTGCATTTTATGTTCTGTAATTTTTTTAATTCTCAATAGAGCCTTCATGTTATGCTAGAATATTTTGATTTTCAACTACTAACCATTAGTTGTGCTCTAAAGAAAAGACTATATCCATTATATATATTTGCTCAGAAAGACCATGTGCTGCAGTGTTTGGGTATCTTTCTTTTTTCTTTTTTTCATAGACCAAATGAGCGAAAAGATACATTTACATGGCATATTTTCAGGTCTTTGTATTGACAGCTCATGATATCTAACACCAAGATTAATCACCAATAAATGTTACATCCTGTTAGGATTTGTCATAGGAAAGGATTTATGTATGTGAGAATATATGAGGAATAAATTATTTCCTTGGATTATGAGTTATTTTCTTTCCTATTTTATATTTATTTCCTTGGATTAAGTGTTATTTATTTTCCTATTTGTCTTTTCTATTTTATGTTGCCTCCTTTATCTTCAAATAATTATTATGAATTGATTAAATGTAGATATTTATAGTAATGTCTTTCCTTTCATATTATTTCCTTTTTATTGTATGTTTTATTTTATTATTCATGTAAAGGTTATTTATACCCCCTTTATGTTTTATTTCGCATTATTCTGAAGTTCAACATGGTATCATAGCTAAATTTCATACACTAGGTCGTCCTCCAAGAGCCGCCAAACTCCCTTCCTATCATCGTCCTTGTGGGAAGGGAGGGACCCTTTCTGCAAGCCCTCGCTGCCGGAACAAATCAGTACAGGCCCTCTAATTACACATGATTCTGAAGAAGGAATCGACCGACCTGCACATAGCGGCAGCTACAGTCTGTGCAGAGAGGGACTTGCGACCTACAGCACTGTCCATGAGACCAGTGCCTTCCCTTTGCAACGACCTTGCGAGAGCCAACAATTCGAGAGCTGATTTCTCTCTAATGGAATTTACTTTGTCCATGACTTGCGAACAGAACTAAAACTGGACGAGTGGGTCGCTGTAGCCCAAGCTCGACCGTCTTTCTGACTCTTGTGCGGATCCCGCCCAGCTCTGGTGGAAATCCCACGTGACTTGTACCTGCCCTGAGCCGAGCTTCCGAAGAGGAAACAATCGAATCTTCTCTTTCTAGCGGAAATGCCAATGCCAAGAGGTGACTTTCTCTATCCCGTGGAAATCTCAATGCCAAGATCAATAGGACTTTCTTTCTTTCTCTAGTGGATATCCTAGACCTGAGATTTTGATCCCGTTGATAATTGTGATCGGGATCGCCTTGTCCTAATTCAGTAGCTGCTCGTCAGCAGAGAGGCAAACAGCTTCACGGAAGATCAATAAGAGCGGGACAGGCGACTATCTTATCAAGGAGCTACATCTTTCTCGTTTTTTGAATACAAGTCCTTATCGCTAATGTGCAGTTTTCCTTGCAGGTGCAATTGCCCCACCGCCTTCCCTACAGGTCACTCCTGTTGTTTTTAGGCACCCATTCCCTGCAGCAATCCGACTTCTTAGTTTTCAGCAGTCCAACTTCCCTGATTCCCTAAGTTATTTGCTTGGCATCGCTACTCTGGCTTCCATTGCAATAGTGAGGGTGCTAGGTGGATATATGTCCAGGTAGAGGGAGTTTCTAGTGATGGCCTCAGACCAACTTTCTATACAGTTAATGTAGTGGTTTATTTAGTGCAGATGTTTTTGTGGTGGAAGCCCATTCAAGTCATTATCGTTCCGTTCAAGGTGTTTTTTTTGCAAGCGCCTATTTTCATTGTTGCCCTTGGTTTCCTTCTTTACAGTGGAAGATTTTCCGTGATGTTGCAGCTTTTTCCCGTTGAATCGAAAGGAAGACACAAGATACTGCATCAAACACTTTCAGGTTTTTCCTACCGCAGGCCTCCTCTGGAGCTGTTCAGTAGGCCCTCCATCTGCATTCGTCCTCCAGCACGTCCTCCTCTGGAGCCTTTTTCTATAGCGAGGTCTACCTTCTGAGTATTATTTTTCAGCAAGCCATACTCAACAGTTTTTTTTGTTGGTTGTCTGTTGCCCTGCAAATTCCCTTACAACATTACCTGTAAGAGTCTTTCGCTTACCTACAAACACTGCAGGAACTACAGTTAAAGATAATCACAATTGTCTACTTTCCTGCAAACCCCGTGCAGCATTTGTTGCATGAGCTTTTCGTCTACTACAAACACTGCAGGAACTGTAGTCCAAGACAACCACATTCAACTTTAAGTCAATTTTTTCTGTTAAATGTCTACTTCCCTGCAAACTCCCCTACGACATTGTATGTAGGAGTCTTCCACCTAGCTATAGACACCGCAATAACTGCAGTAAAAAACAACCGCATTACAGGACCAAGAACTCAAGTTCTACCTCTCAAGATTTTCCTCGCCCATTGTTTGGTGTTTTCAAATCCAAGTTGAACATGGTTTTCAAGCATGTTTCAACTTGAGGGGGAGTGTTAGGAGTTATACTAGAAAATAATTTATTCCTGTAAGAAATTATGAGGAATAAATTATTTCTTTGGATTAAGAGTTATTTTCTTTCATATTTTATATTTATTTCCTTGAATTATGAGTTTTTTCTTTTCTTATTTTAGTTTTTCTTATTTTATGTTATTCTTTTATCTTCAAATAATTATTATGAATTGATTAATTAGAGATATTATGAGTTATATCTTTTCTTTAATATTATTTTTCTTAATTGTATTTCTTATTTCAGGATTCATTTAAGAGGTATTTATACCCCATTTCATATCAATGAATTGATACTGGCTTAATCCCACTAAATTCCGCTTTATTCTGCATTTTTCTGAATTTTAACAGATCCATATATGTTTTTGATGTTGTTAGAACCCTACTTGTAGAATCCATAATTTCTGAAGAACGGTTGAAAATAATATTCTCTTATTTCATAATATTCAAATTATAACATTTCCCCTTGTTCTATAGAGAATGGCTAGGGAAGACATAATAAAGGCCATTACAACGTACCAAATTCAAAACAAACAAAGAAGAAAAGTCAAACAACATAATAAGAAAAGAATAAAAAAACAATAAAACTGAAATATGAAACTCCCTCCAATAGCTTCCACAAATCGAACCTGTGGGGCCCATATAGTCGGCACCTTGGGCCACCTAATAGCGATAGAATTTCACACTTTCTCTTAAGTTGGGTCATAGATGTTGTAAAGACCCAACTTGGTATTCAATTTAATGAAGCTGCATGGAGGTAGAGATTTAGTTAAGACATCAGCAACTTGAAGATAAGTTGCAACGTAGATTAAGTATATAATGCCACCATTGACCTTTTTCAGAGATATAATGTCTATCAATCTCAATATGTTTGGTCATGAGGTTCTGTTTATCTAATATTTACGTGATTTGTGATTTGTTTCCGTACATGATTGAAGTTAGTTTAAGTTTATATGTGATAGATTTGTTTTCTAGTGTGAATCTTAATTGCTACTGAATTTTATTTTTGTTCGTAGCTTTATTGTAAACTTGTTATTTTTTTACTTCTATATCATTATTATTTGGATTAAAATAACCGGTTGTCATTGCTCTAACTGAATACAACATGACTATATGTGAATTTAAGCTATACTCCTATATTCGATAGGAGGTATAATTTTGAGGAATTTAAAGCTGGATCAGTAATTTAAAATAACGTTTTGAATATTACAATATTTGAATTTTATTGAATCAAAATAGGTGAGACATGCTCAATTACTTTGGTGAAGAGTTGCCAATGAAACTTCAGTTGACTTAAAATATGATCCTAAAAAGTTAT